TTTTCAGCAAGTAAGGAAGCCTTGCTGAAAGAAATCAAAAAAGAATAAAAAATCTGGCCATTAAAATTCTAAGAGTAACATCTTTTTTGCTCATACTTAGTTTTAAGAAAAAAAATGAAAAGCAATGTCTTGTTCTCTTTTCATTTGAGATGTTAGTCAGATTAATATGGTATCAGAATATTTTTTTATTTCAGTGCAAAGTGTGTAATTTTACTATTTACTCTCTCAGCTTTGCTGGATACCACATTAATATAACAATGTATTATATGCAAGTTAAAGGATATTAACAAGATGAGTTAGAGAATTACAGTGTTTATGATGCAAACATTCTCCTTTTGAGATTCCAGTTACTCTTACAAGCATGCATTACATACACATACAGGCTTGGGCTGGGATTAAATTTTCTTCATAGTAGTTTATATGGTTCTGTTTTGGATTTGTGACCAAAACAATGTTGGTAACACATCAGCATTTTCTATAAGGCTGAACAGTCTCAAGACTTTCTGTTTCTCATGCTGTCCAACCAGCAAGGAAGCTGGGGGAGGAGATGCAGCCAAGACAGTTGACCCAAACTGACCAAAGTGATATTTCATATTATATGATGTCATGCTCAGCAATGAAAGCTAGGAGGAAGAAGGAGGAGAGGGAGGAAGACATTTGGAATTACAGCATTTGTTTTCTAAAGTAACCATTAGGCACAATGAAGCCCTGCTTTCCTGGCAATGGCTAGATGTCTGCCTGCAAGTGGAAAGTAGTAAATTAATTCCTTATTTTGCTTTGTTTGCACATGAAGCTTTTGCTTTACACCTATTACATTCTTTTCATCTCAACTCCTGAGCTTTCTCCCTGTCACTCTTCCAGCTCTCTTCCCCATCTTGCTGTTGCATGGGAAGATAGAGAAGAAGGTGAGAGAACAGCTGTGTGGTGCTTAGCTGCCTACCAGGGCTAGCCAACAATATATAATGGAAGTTCCTATACATAAACCTAAGTACATATACAAATTGATTTATCTTGATATTTCTAACTTCATATTCTACCAATATTATAAAATGAAGTAGTACAGCAGTTAATAAAGGTGGATTTCACAGAACTGGAAAATACATTAAACAGAGTGTAGACAGTGAGAAGAACTGCATCAGTGTCAATTTAAGTGTTTAAACAAAAACTGCTGTCATCAGTCCTTACCTTTAATCTAAATACTTTATTCTGCATGAATTCATAAGAGGTTTCTACAAGAAATTTACAATATAATACTCTAAAGAATTAAATGGTCACATTATTTTAAAAACATGTCACAGTCCATGCATCCCCGATGCATTTCTCAAAGCATCTGGTATCTGATTTAATAGCAATTAATCACTACATCACTACTTAAACATAGCTAATTTAAGTGTTTGATCCCACAGCTGTTGATAGGAACCAAAGAGACTTCACATCTGTGGATCAACAGTTAGGTAAAGAAGAAACTTGCTACTGTTAACAACAAGCTTTCTATTCAACAAATAGGGCAAAACAACAGGGAGTTGGTCGTACATAACTGGGGTTCTTCAGATACGGACTTGTAAACACAGCACTCTTGAAACCTTAAACCCAGATTATGCTTAGAATCTATAATAGGAGAGGCTGGGACTATGTTTACATGAAGAACATTTAGCGTGAGACTGTACAGAAGTCCATAATCAAAACCATCCTCAGTTCTTTTCAGAAATATCTGGAAGAGGATGTAGAGTAAAGAAGAAAGGAAGTCTGGAAAGACAAAGGTTTTATAAACCAATGAGATCTGTATTCTGCTCCTCATCCATGAGAGATAAGATTCTGAGAGTAAAGTAAAAAAAAAAAACAAACAACAAGAGAATGAATAGACATGAAGAGAATAAGCTTTCACAACCACTAATTCTAATCTAACAGAATGAGCTAGTGGTTAGTTTACAATATCTATTCAAAATTTAGACCTATGATGATGGAGGGGATTCAAGGATGTCAATTCCTTTATTTTAAAGCTTCACAGTTCAGCCATAAGTTGTCTACAAAGAGCTCGTTACTGAACAGGAATCTAACTACAGCAATTAGCAATCAAGCAATCATTTTAACATATCAGAAACATTAAGATACATTCTAATGGTTTCACTCGAAGTCCAGTTCTGTGCACCACTCAAATCCATTTCAAAATAAGGCTACTTTAATAATGAAAACGTGACATTGGACAGCTTTGCTTTTCTAGCACTTGTTATCATACACGCCCCATTTTTATCCATCAACCTAACAGTAATGAAGAAAAAGATTTGGGTGTTGGTTTCAGATTTTCTTCTGGAGTCTAAATCCATGTCTGGAGATACCTTCAGAGTTAAAATATTTTAACCAATATTCCTGTGACTTGTTACATCTAAAACAGAACAAACCAGACAATTTACTGTCTGCCCACAAATGACTCAACCTCCAGAGACAGAGAAAGTTGAATTATTTTTGTCCAGAAGAGGTCTAGCATCTTAATGATTTGTAAATTTTGACAGCATTATTAGAACCACAATAACACCTGACAGCTGATTTTTACTAAGTTTCTCCTTCTTTATGAGCTGCAAAATTCCTTTGTATTTCCATACATATTTCACAGCTTAGAACGTTCTCTGACAGTTCACTCTCAACCTTTGAAACCACAAAAACTTATTTACATTGAAGTTTATGAAATGGTGACCACATCTTGATTTTCAAAAATTATTTATGCATAGTGACTGGAAGAATGCAAAAGCCTCACATCACATGGTTTTAAGTAGACATTAAATAAATACTGTCCTCACAAGTACTTCTTCCTAATTGAAGCTAATGAACTGTATGTAACACTCAGAGCACTACAACTAACACTGCCACATAACCAAATGCTACTGGCTTGTTACATAGAACAAGAGCAGAATTCTTTCAGGCCCACACAAATATTCTGGCGTGGATCCGCCTTATAAAGATTTTTCCAGCAGCATCCTGGAGCTGCTTAAAGACCTTGTGCTCAAGATGAAGGAAAAAGTTTCACTTACACTCTAACATCCCTCACTTCCTTCATCAATTGAACCACAGGTCCAATACTCAGCAAAGGGGAAGGATTCAGATTTGCAGAGACCACAAAGGTAACATCCCTGAAAGGCTCATCTCCTGTAAAGCACTTTCTGTATTCTCCACAAAGTGGTGAGAATCACCAACAGGATACAAACAGGGTGAGTGCTTAATATTTACTTTGAAGAAAACTGAGTTTGTCCTCAAGGAGCACCTTTTCATGCTAATAGACCTTTTGCACATGTACATATATTTTCTGAGAAAAATCAGAGCAAGTATTCATGAATCCAACCTTAACTTCATGTGAAATCTTTCACAAACACAGATTTAGCCACTGAATTGACATACTTATCATTCGGTATGTGTTATTCACAGGCAATCTTGTAAAAACTTGTACTGCAGAGGAGTATGCAGCAGAAATGTTACAATTCTAAAGAAAGCTAAGCCTTCAAGATCCATTTTTTCTTGATTTGAGAGTGGTTTTCAGAAAAGACAAGCCAATGAATCATCTGATTTAAATGAAAAACAGATTACTATTGGTAAGTGCTTGGGACGTGGCCTAAGAATGACCATAAGCTTCCAAAACATAACATGTACAAGTCCAAACACAAATACTTTCTTTCCCTCTGCTGTTCTCCGAGCTGATGCTGCCATCAAAAAGACCTGCACATCCCTTTGCCAACAGAAAGGAAGGAGTTAATCAGTAAACCCACGAAGATAAAGTTACAAGGACGACACAAATAGGTAGAGATGTACAGAAGCTGAATGAGATAGACAGACACCCAAAGAGAATATTCAATTTTGAACTGTGAAGTGAACCATTTTAACACGTGATCACACTTGTTCAAGCCAATGAATAGTTGCAGGAAGCTGTTAATTTCTGTTTTAGAAGGGGAAAATGTCACTGTGCTGAATAATCAATGTTATATCTTTTGCTGTGTACTTCAATAAGGTAGGTCCCCTTCCACATCATAATGAATGCTTAAATCAGGATTGATGTGGTTCAAGGTTATGCTAATCATCCAGTCAGCAATGAAGCTAAGAAAAATTAGGAAGCTAGGTTCAAACACAAGTTTTTCTAGGGGTCCTAGAGTAAATTAGGCCTTGATACCCTGCCAAAGCAGTGCTATTGGGAGATTTCCCTCTGATTTTACTGGGAACCAGCAGTACGGAACAGTAAGAAATTGGAATTGCTACAGACCATAAGACAGTGAACAAATATGCCTATGAATTACCAGGGGCTAAACAAAACCAAATCTCCCCATCTTTTCTATTTTTACCACTTAGGACACACAGTGTTTGTATTACAGAGAGCTGTACAGTGTCCTGTTGAGATCAAGATTCTGGCTGCTTCTGACATGGGATTTTGGCATCCTCTCCAGAGAACTGAAAAAGATTGCCTGATTCCATTGTGAAATGACTTTTTAAATGAAGAAATTCCCAGTTGCAAGCTGTGGGCTACCGATAATATCCTGAATCAGGCCTCACACCTCAATTATCTCTCTCAACTCCACCATGCTATTTTCCTGTCCACAATGGTACTTAACTAAATCCTTTTTCTGGCTCTACTTGGTGTACAAGACACTGCAGTTAAGTAGGAGACTATAATCAATATGCTCAGGCATTGAACCTAGGAAATCAGAAGCCTTTGGTACACCAAAGATCAGAACCCCAGCTGTAATTAGCAGGCCACTATACAAGATGTGCAACAAGTATCAGTTACCTGAGCATTCAGAAAGCAAATCTCTTTATACCTTATGGGAAAAAAATAAAAAATAAAAAAAATCAGTCTTGGAAAATTGGTTAACTGTGTGAGCATGTCTTTGTAATTTTCAGTTAAAACAGTCTTTCTTTCAGCAAACTAAAAACATGGCTGTCCAAACAGTTTAAGTAAACTATACACAGGTTTACTTAAGCATAGCATGTGCCAGAATACTGGCAGCTGAAGTATAATTTACCTCTTCTCTTTTTTTTTGCATCCATTCTCTGAGCTTCTTTTCAGCTGTCCTTTTCCTTCTCTCAAATTCTTCCTTTTGCTTCATTTTCTCGAGTTGTATATTCATCTCCTAATTAAAAAAAATAAAAAGCACACATCTTTAATATGTCACAACCACATATAGTGGCATGCTCAATAGTGGAAACAGGGCTGAAGTTAAAAAATAAATAAAAAATTAAGCATTACATTTCAAACACTTCCCTTCAAGAAGATTTTTGGAAAAAATGAATGACAGTTAACACAGAAACATTATGAAATATAACTAATAGAAATGTAGAATTTTTACAGTACGAAGACAGGCTGAGGGAGCTGGGCTTGTTCAGCCTGGAGAAAAGAAGACTGCGGGGTGACCTCATTGCAGCCTTTCAGTACCTAAAGGGAGCCTACAAGCAGGAGGGAAATCAACTCTTTGAAAGGGTGAGTGACAGCAGGACAAGGGGAAATGGTTTTAAGTTGAAGGAGAGAAGATTTAGGTTGGATGTCAGGGGAAATTCTTTAATATGAGAGTGGTGAGGTGCTGAAACAGCTGTCCAGAGAGGTTGTGGATGTCTTGTCTATTCCTGGAGGTGTTTAAGGCCAGACTGGTTGGGGCCCTGGGCAGTCTGGTCTGGTATTAAATGCAGAGGTTGGTGGCCCTACATGTGGCAGGGGGGTTGGAGATTCATGATCCTTGAGGTCCCTTTCAACCTGGGCCATTTTGTGATTCTGTAAACTGGAAACAGATATTTTTGTTGGGCTCCAGAAATACTTCAACAAACAACTCAAACAAGTCATTCCTTGGCTCATTTAAACATCAGTCAATGGAATCTCAAGTGGTATCACTACTTTTCTGCAGTACTTAAAGTTTAGATGATTTACTACTCCGTATTCGGGAAGGCATCAAAGCTAAGTGATGTATTATTACTCATCTGTGACATTTAATATCAAAACTACAGGAACATTAGGGCTTAAGTATAAGCTTACTGAAACCAAAATTTTTAAGGATTTCATCGAGTTTCAGAATAAGATCCATATTATAAATATAATAGAAGAAATTCTGAAGTATTCCATCTTTGTAAGACACAGTAAATACACAATTACTTATGACTCTTTGAGGAAATGAATCCATAAAGAAAAATCACGATTAAGGTAATTTAAGACATCCTCCTCAAGACCATATGAGAAGTCCTTAAGCAAACCTATTTACTGTACAACAGCAGAATGGCTCTTTTTTTGTGCTTACAAATCAAAACAGGGGGACAGTTACCAAACTAGAATCTAAAAGGAAAGATGTGAAACGTGTAGACAATATGAATAGATCAGAAAATATTGCTCAAGCTTAGCAAACTATTTTGGTGTTACGCTGACCCCTAAAACACTGTTTTAAGACCTTCCAGTTTTGGGAGTTACAGAAAGAGCGTGAGGCAACCCATATGTGTTACGTACACTTTACAGATTAAATGAATCACAGAAAAGTGAGGTCGTTGTTCAAGGTCAAATGGTAAATCAGTAACTTAAGTGAGAAATTATCTACCTTTGATGCGATTATTCTAACCACTACCCAATTCTTCCAATTTGACTTTTAACAATAGTATCATTCAATCAACTGCAACAACAAATATATTAATCAAGAAAAGATAGGGCGCTCTCACTTACTTCTGCCCCAGTCTCAGTGTTCAAGAACTGTTGGTTTGCAAGGGGGACAAAAGATGGAAGGAGGGAAAGAAATCCTGGGATAGAGCAGCACAGTCTGGGAAATGACACCAAGCAGTTGTGCAATTACCCACTGAGTGGGTAACAACACTATGTCTCATGTATAACCAAGCAGCTTGCAGTGCTTACACCTAGCACACACCCTGTCATGTTTTACTACCTACACACAGGCATATGTAACCACAATGAAAATCAAGGTACCAATTACATCAATACATTATGCTCTTTCAAACTCGAACCATTACCTGTTGGTAGGATAAGCAAAATATTACAGAGTACCATTTCAATTACGTGCAACATTTAGCAAAAGAGAAAGCTCAAGGCATGAATCATGTTGGAACTGTCAAACCTAATACTACAGAGGTCAAAACAAACTGAAAACCATGGACAAAATGGCTAGTTTTTCTAAAACCAACAGAAAATAAAATCCTGACATTTGGTGCTTGCTATTTGCTAGATTTTATGTCAAGCTAAGATGCATTCACCTCTGCAGCTCTAGCTTGTAAATGGGCACGTAGTTCTTTCTCTTTTCCAATGAACCATTCTTCCCATGGTGAAAGATGATCTTTCAAAGGCGAGTGCTCATTTGCTTCTGTTATTTCAGAGTCATCCTCCTTCCTGAGTGAAAAATGAGAAACGTAAAGGAACATTATCCGTCAGAACTTTGACTGAAAGTCTATCCAGTTTTGTTGTCTCAAAAAATCCACATTTCTCTCTATTGTAGCAGAAATTACATTATTCTTCCACCTGCGTAGTAACCATCAAGATGGGAAACAGCATTCTTTTTGTGTTCCTCACCATCCCCGTCACATTCTATGTACCAAGTTCTAGCTTGTGTCTTTTCTTTCTGTTCCATACTGTGGAACAGGTTCAAACATTACCTCCTATGAACTAACCAAACCCAACATCAGAAACATGGAAGCATTTCTGTCACTGAGAGGCTCAAATTGGCAAGCAGCCTTTTGCAAAGGCAAAGTATAATCAAGATTATTTTTCAGTCTTTCAAGTCCTATAGTACTGGAGAATATTCACCCAGAATCCGTTCTAAGTTAAAATTTTCCTCTTTAGAACACATTCACAGGAAATACACCTTAAAAAATATGGCTTGTGCACAACACTTAGTGTTATTACACAAGGTAAGACGTTTAGTAGAACACTTTGCATAACTCACTCATAACTTTATTCATGAGTAATGCAGCGATCCTACCTCCAGGCCAGAAATATATTTTATAATATTCTGTACCTGTACTCCCAAGAAAGAGAGTACAGTAGGCTTTATTTGAAAACATGCCAGAAGATTTCTTTGAGCTCTTCTCTATCTTACACAGATTTTTTTCTTAACAACAAAACAATGAGATCAGACTTCACGTTAGTATTTTATATGAACATATGCACTCTGGAAACACCTACCTACACACTTTGCTACAGGGAGCAATTCTGTTTGCTTAACTTAAGTTATGAAAGAGGCACCCAAACAAGCATATTACATGAATGCTCCTGAAATTAATCTTCTATGCGTATATTTAAATATATATATATATATATATATAAAGTCTTGCAGACAAAACACACATAGATAGTGTGCAGAGAAGAGCACTGCAGGCCTAGAACTCCTTGCACACTTGTCCACCTGCTGTGATGAGTTATGATCCACACAAAACCTGAATTTCATAGAATCCCCTGCTAGAACGCCAGCATATTCATAGCCTTCATCAGAGTAATTAAAATAACAGACTTGATAAAGTAGTGCACTCTCCAGCGTACATTGGGATTTAAATACAAATATCTTAAATTGATTTAGATAGTTTGGCGTTAGTATTGAAGTCTGATGAGCAGATTCCACATAGTCACTTTAGTCACACCATCTGACGTAATACTGAAATGATGGCCATTACACAAAGCCTCAATTTCAGCTCTTCTCTTCTACAAATCTAATTTTCCCAAGTTAAACATCTGCCTCTGGCTAACTTTTACGTAGTTTCAAGAGAACACCACCACCACACCACTCTTTGAGATGCAACGGAGGAGTGGCTGTGTAGGAAATGGTTGTTATTATTATACCTGCAATCTTGGCAGTCTCACAGGGAAGCTTTTAGATGAACATTTGGTGGGCACCCATTAGAATCAGAGAGCCATAGAAAGGCTTGGGTTGGAAGGGACGCCGAGGATCATGAAGCTCCAACCCCTGCCACAGGCAGAGCTGCCAGCTGTGAGATCCAGAACTGGACCGGGCTGCCTGGCACTGAACACCCCCAGGAATGGAGCATCACAGCCCCTCTGTGCAGCCTGTTCTGAAACGATCCTGACATCCAACCTGAATTCTCCCCCCTTCGGCTTAAAAGGAGTAAAAGAAGAGGAAGGACTGCAAGCAGGCTGACAGGCTGCTCTAACCCGAGGCTTCCCAGTGTTTTACACGGATTTCTCTTGGATGTTTCGCTCTTTTTTCAAGAAACGCCTGCAGGCACCACTCGGCGTGCCCGCGTTCCCTCACTGCTTCATCTCCTTCCCCCGCCCCACCGACCTGCTCACTCCCCAGCGGGAGGCCGTATTCGAGAACGAACCGGGCCTCTCCTCCTCCTCGCGGAAGGAGCAGCTGGAATGGCTGAGCGGCTCTTCGCCCTCCGAGCTGCTGAGGGACGGCGGCCGCGCGGTCCTCCTCATGGCGGCCGAAGGCACCCGCGCCAGAGGAGAGCTGTTAGCCGCTCCCGCGCAGCACCGCACCGCTTCACCACAGCGAAGCTCCCGGCGGCCACCGCGCCGCCGCCATGGAGACCGGCAAGCGGCACCGCCCCGCGCATGCGCGCTGAGACAGCACTCCAGACGGGGCCTCACAAGGGCAGAGCTGAGGGGACGATCCCCTCCCCTCGAGCGGGCTGAAACGTACAAAAAAACCGGCAGACTGTGCTCTAAGCACTACATCACTACGCAGCAAATCCATATTCTTGGTTTTGAAGGAACTCTAGGCACTTATAAGTAGATCACAGAGCTGATCACCATCCTATAGATTCAAGTCTCATTAGCTACAGTCTCTAATAGTCGACAAATTGCGCCAGTCAGAGTAACAAAATGATTCGAGCACTGGAGACAACAGTATCACTAGAAACCGAGCATCAGGCTGAGTAAAGGGAGAAGCATTTTGTTGGTTTGTTTTTCAGATCGTAGGACACCAAGTACAGTATGCAAGCTGTCAAGCTTTGCAACATCCAAACTATTTATATCTGTATCCGTGCAGCACGCGTGTCTGTGTATCACAGAATCACAGAATGGCCAGGGTTGGAAGGGACCTCAAGGATCGTGAATCTCCACGATTGTGAGTAGTGAAGTAGTGAAGTGAAGTAGAGCTTGGGGAAGGCTCTGGGGAGACCTCATTGTGGCCTTCCAGTACTTGAAGTGAGCGTAAAACAGGAGGGAGAATGGCTGTTTACATGGGTTGATAGTGACAGGATAACGGGGAATGGTTTAAACTGAGACAGGGCAGGTTTAGGTTGGATATTGGAAGTTTTTCAGCCAGAGGGTGGTGAGGCACTGGAACAGGTTGCCCAAGGAGGCTGTGGATGCCCCATCCCTGGAGGCATTCAAGGCCAGGCTGGATGTGGCTCTGGGCAGCCTGGGCTGCTGGTTGGCAAACCTGCATATAGCAGGGGTTTGAAACTAGATGATCTCTGAGGTCCTTTTCAACCCAGGCCATTCTATGATTCTGATAAAAACCATCTGCCATGGCAATAATTAAGTATGGTTATTACTAAAGCCTAAAACCAAGCTGACATAACGAAGAACAAAAGTTGCCAAAAACAACAGTGTAGAGAATGAATATGTATGTAAGCATCCACGTAATATATACACGCGTGTGCACACACCCACACGCCCCTACAGTTGTTAGTGTTGTGAAAAATCTGCCAAAAGTGCTAACCTCAGAAGTGACAAAACTTAAGCTCAGTCTTTCAGAGCTAACCAAATTGACACCATCACAGACACCATCACAGTGTGCTTTAAGCTATATAGCAAGATGGAGTTAAATTCAGAGTAAACCCATACTCACAGACCTATAAATTGAGTCTGTTCAATGACAATTAACATGCCTGAACTTCCAAATGATCCTAATAATGTGCTTACAGAATTCCTAATTGTCATCCACACTACTTGAAAAACCATTTTCCATAGAAAATGGTGCTGAGAAACTAATTTTACAGGTGACAAAACAGCTGTAAATTTCTGTAAACAGAAATGAATTCAATTCTAGACATAAATAAACTAACTCTGAATTATTAGCTACACCAATTTGACAACTCTGTGAAATGTGAGAATTTGCCAACAGTTTCTATGAAATATTTTTTGAAATTTAACTGTAATCTGATCAGCTCAGCCTCAGAGATTGTAAGGACCTCTCAGTTGAATTTAATTAACACTAGTCAGACTTAACGAGAAGAATCAAATGAGATTGCTCTCAGAAGTCATGTCTAGTTCCACATGTGCATTCAGGAACACAGACGGAACATAAAGCAATCCAGCTAAAAAGTAAATAAGTAAACTAAATTAAGGCACAAACTGAGTCATAGACTGCATACCTTTAGGTAGCTGATACCAACCAACCAGACGCCCACGAAGAATGTATGTCTACATTTTACTTGTCAACTGAAAAAACACAGAATAATTTGAATAAATGTTGTTTAGTTTAAGAAGTCTGAGCCTTTACACTTTATGATGTGGGGAAAAGTGGTGCTGCACAAAACTACTTAGCTCCATACTCACAGTCAGAGCTGACCAAGTGCTCTCTGCCTGTGCACCAGTATTTTTATGCCTGTACTGTAGTTCTGCTTAATCAAAGTGGTCTTGCATTGCTTCAGTTTTCCTTCATTTTCCACCCCATTCTCACCCTCGCAGAATGCCATTCCTACTACTGGTCCCAGTTCAGGCTTTCTGTTCATTGCAAATACAGAGCCATCTCTTTTTCAAGGACCACAGCCTTGAGAACGAGCTTCTTTCTTCAAGGGAACGTGCAAGAATCCTACAAAACAAATTTATAGTGAAAACTCAGCTTTACAATTCAATAGCATAATTCCTGCTCCACTCAGTTAGCTGGATTTCAGCTTCTACATAACCAAAATGCATCTATTTTTGTACTGGTTGGAGATCATAGCACTACTACTGTTGAACAGCCTTCATTTGTTGAGCTACTTATGCAAAATCTTTACCTCGGTCCTCATTTAAAACTTCAGTTTTTAGCAGATTTATTCACTTACTCTGGGACTGACATTTGCAGAAGGCACTAGTGAGTTATGCATTCTTTTGTTACTGGAAACCAATCATAAAACTCATAAGTTGTTACCCTCAAATCTGAACAATTTCCTCATGGTAAATACAGCCACATTCACCATTAACTAGTATTTGCAAATAAAACCTAAATAATGATTTTTTTTTCCTAGTGCAGTGCCACTACTGCAACAATATGGAACGTTTCCATTCATCCTTCATGCACAAAAAGCAGTAAATAAAACACAGTCATTTATGATGCATTATCCCATTCCACCTTTCATTTGTTTCCTTTCTTTCTGAATCATATTCAATTACTAGCTTGAGAGTAAATAGCTCAGATTCTATTGCACAGTATATGAAAGGCAATATTAAAAATCTCTAGCTAAAAATAAACTTATTATACTAGCAATAAGAGATCAAAAGCATCTATGTAATTAAAAGTTATTAAATTGAGAGCACACATGAAATAAACTGTACATTGTGCTTTTAATTAAAAATATTACCCTGTAAATTAAAACCAAAGGCTTAAAAATTACAATCAAAGTTAAAAGTATCCTGGTAAAACTCCGAGATTTCTGAGTAAATTTGTGATTAAATTCAGGAATTTCTACCGTGATGGAAAAGGTCAGAAGTGATCTAAACCCAGCAGTTGTCAAGTGGATACATTATTTATGTAATTTTAGATAAAGGGATCTCACCAGAATACTTTCTTAGAGCAAGTTGACAGCTGTCCATAAACTACTTAACAGGGAGAAGGTGTGGAATATCAGCAACAACTTCTGGCATCTTTAGCTTTTCCCTCTGCACCACTGCAGAAAGCTTCTTGCACAGAACATCAGGAAAAGGAAGAAAAAGCGAAAAGGAAAATCCTTTCCTTACTCAAAAGCTTTCATTTGTTTAAAGCAAATTCTTTTTGCCCTGCTACACCTGGTACTGGAGTTCAGTACAACAGTTGCTTATGGTTTCTTTGAACATCCAGCAAAAACGTGTGACAAAGGAGGGATTAAGTACCTGGTGGCTGGATTTCTCTGCATTCTCCTCAAGTGATTGTCCACAGGTGCTGAGCATTTGGCATCCGAGACAGGCAAGTTCTGCAGCACTGCTTCTCAATGAATTAATTTTAGTAGCTACGACTTGCATTCCTTCTCCTCTACCAGCTGTTAAAACCTGAGCATGTTGCAAGACACTGGACTGACTGCATTAAAAGATAACCGCTAGCACAATAACTCAAACATTAATGCTGCATAATGAAATACTGGAACTCCAAATGAAGAACGTTTGACCATTTTAAAAGCTTTTCAGTGAAGGCTCATTTTGTAAAACAAAGACAACATATATCCTTACTCAAGAGCATCGTGGAAAATTCAGTTGGAGCTTGATAGCTAGATTTCCTTCCTACTGGTTATAAAATAGCATCTGAAATTTGTGTTCATTTTCCAAAATATTATTGTCACCTGTGAGTAGCCAACCAACGGAGGTACCATGTAAATAAACCACCTCTTCCAAAATTATGATTTCAAACAATGGAAATGCCACAAAAACAAAGTCAGCATCTGTACCATCTTCCAAGCCATATTCAAAGCTTGAACACGATACATAATGTCTATTTTAAAGAGACTGCTTTGCAAAAATGTAAGGACTTCTCTGAAATTTTTAACCTTTTGTAGACCAAGAGGCTGCATTAATCAGAAGCTGTGAATCCACTGAGTCCACAGTAAACTGGCAACTTTCTTCTTTTGCTGCCTTTTCTTGCCCCAGGCCCTACCACATTAATTCTCCTGGTTGCTGTCTGCAGTTTCATGCCTGTGCACCATTTTCAGCTTTGGAAGAACAGATAAATAACCATCAATGTTCATGTACCCTTTATTTGCTTTCAGTGTAACATTCCATGCTAACTGCAGATGTAATATTCATGAGTATAAATATAAGAACTAACAGTTCTGGATTGGTTTTCTTCTGTTTTTACAGGTGAATATTTTGGCTTACAAAATTAACAGCATACAGTAAATAATCCTCCCATATTTTGTACAAACTACATGATTTTGATATACAAGGATTCTGTTTTTATTACAGTGACAATATACAACCATGTCTATTTACAATGCAAAAAGTATATAAACCACATTTTAAACATTCTGCTACTGGCAGCCACTATTGTTTAGGAGGTAGCTTTAATTAACAAAATGAAGTGAAGCCACATTTCCCATCATGTGTTCTATCAAATAATTTACAATACAAAGATAAAAATTCATTGTATGAACAGTATATACAGGTTAATTCTCAAAACTGCAATCTAGCTTTAAATCTTAAGAAGACTGTTTCCAGACTGACTGGGATGGCAGTAAATTCGCTCCTGATTTATTGTATTGTTCAAACAACATAATTACTTAATTGTGCATTCATAATTTTATATCAATCAGATATAAAGATTTCAAACTAAATGTAGATACATTGGGATCACTTAAAATCATTTGGATCTCAGGACATAAATGGTTTAAAAATGACGCACTGACTGACATGAAAATCAGCGACTTTGCACAGTGTACTTCACACTCACTAAAAAAAAAAAACTGGCAAAAATGCTTTTCTTCTATTGCAAAGAATATTGCTTTCTGTTTCCTCCCCATTTGCTAAAATCTAAAACTGCTCACACGTTACTGGTAAGCACTAGCACTCAGCAGGCTGCAGAATATTAGCCAGTCTTTTTTGTTTTTTCTTAACCAACCCATGAGCTGTGTATGTTGGCAGCACTGCTAACACAGCCCGATGCATCCAAGCTCCTTCCAATAGTGTGACCCTGCTGTGTAATACTGAGGAAGATGGCTGTGGTTCACCTGAAGTAACGCATCGTCACTGAAAAACATCTTCAGCCCTATTATTCCTGACAGCTGTTAATATTCTTATTGCATCGTCTGCAGACACTGTGGATTACAAGCGTTTTTATTACAACAATCTTTTTTTAAAAAGAAAAATTCTGAACGTTGGCTTGAAATACAACACAAAAATGGTATTCCCATATTGCTCTCACAGTTATGCATGGGAGAACTAATCCCTTTTTTGGCCCTGCAGTAAAATTCATCCTGAGATTCAACGCTGAATACAAAGCTAGCAAGAAAACTGTTGC